TATGGAGGCCGGGGTGAGTTTGGCGAACCATTGTCGTGCTAATCCCTTCAAGATAGTTGGGAATGCCCTACACATAATTTCGTTGGGGATGTTGTGCAGCTACATTAAGGTCTTGTAGGTTTCGAGGTGTTCAAGTGGGTCATTCGTACCATCAAAAGTTTCGATAGATGACATTTTGAACTTCTGGGAAAGCAGGTAGTTTGCCACGTTAGGTACGAAAGGTGTGTCGGTTGGCCTAACAAGGTAGCCCGCTGTCTTGGGTCCTTGTTCCTTCATAGTGTTGAAGACGTCACCTAGTTGACTTTGTATCTCTTTTATTTTTTTGTCTCAATGGTTGGGGATTTCCTTAGAAATATTATGGAAATGACTCCCATACTCCACACTTAGGTTTTTGCCCTCATCCTCCTGAAAATTAGGGTCTCTATCATGAAAAGTGGGAGCTGGAGGAGGTGGAGGCCCTTTATAGTGGGCTCCCTTTTGTGGGGCGTCCAAGGGAGCTCTCAAGAGGGCATGTGGAGTTCTTCTAGCTCGGGGTCCAGTAGGCTGTGCTCCTTCTTGTTGTCCGGCGAGTATCAATTGCAAAATCTACTGGTTCTGAGCTACAAGTTATTACATTGTTTCTAGCATCTATTGTGCATTCAGAACGGGATTGATTGGTGGAGGAGCAACCTCTTCCTCTCGTTGTGGATTATCCTTAGGTTGATTCATGGATCTGGTGGTGATTCCCATAGATTTAACAAAGAAAGTGTTTAGAAGTGAGAATTTTGTCGTTCCCATAGACGGTGTCAAACTGATGATGAACAAATTGGTTTGCACACCACTTGTCAAGTAAGCAGTATAAAATGCAGTAAAATAAGTAGAGGGAGAGAGAAGACATAGTTTATAGTGGTTCGGTCAACGTGACCTACGTCCACTTTAAATGACAAGGGTCGCCGATATTTTATTAACTCATGTATGTAGGGAGAGCAAAGGGTTACAAGCTTTGAGAGGGTGAGAAGAGAATTATCTCAAATGAGTCTCTTGCCCCCCAAGTGTTGGCGCGGCTTACAATTTATATTCGTCTCATAACATAATGCATAGTAATTGAGTAGCTAATTTGACAGTCATAACGGATTGGAGGCGACTTAATAGTAATTAAATAGTTGATTCGGCGGAGGTGGCAACCTCTTCCCAACGGGCGAGTTAGTTACAATACTCTCCATAAGACTCGATTAAAGGATGATTTGAGGGTTGACTTCGTACAGGACAACTTGGATGAAGCTCTTGGGATGACCCTTACTCCAAGGTGGTGAGAATGAGGCTCTTGGATGACCCTTACTGCAAGATAGCTAGGAGAAGGCTCTTGGATGACCTTGCATACTCCCTGCTAATGTGGCTCCTTGATTTTTTATGAGCTTGTCCGGGTTGACCACATTGAGTTAGACTTACTGGATCTCTTGGAGATGGGCTATAAACTCAAACTGGGCTTATAATTTGAGGTAGGCTTTTGGGCTTGGCCCATCAGAAGTAATAATCTCATGAAATTAAGGGTGGTAATCATATCGTGTTGTGTTATTTTGAGTTTGTATTCAGAATTAGTTAACCCTAACGTAATCCGTTTAATTAATCGTGCCGAGTTCAATCTATCTATTTATTTTCATATCGTATTCATGTTGACCCATATAACTGATGAATAAAAAATTTAACGTTCAGATTTAAGTCTAAAATTTATTTGTCACTTAATCGAACATATGCTCATACTTTTTATATAAACTAAAAGGTAACTTAATAAATATAACAATAAAAATAAGTAAAAATATTTTTGTTTTGTACAATAATTATGTCAGATAAAATATAATAAAAAATAACATTTTATTCTTAAAATAATAATTAATCATGTCAATTTTGTTTTATTCGTGTTTGATACTAATCTGACTTATTTATTATTTATATTAATGAATCATATTATTTACAGGTTCATGTCAAAAAATAACTAATTCTAACTCGTTCACTTCGTGTCAATTTCGAATCGTTTTTTTGGTATTGTATTAAAAATTGTCAACCCTTATATGAAATGATGGAAATGATCTTGTAAGTGATGTGAAACATATGGAAAATTAAATAATAAAATATCGTATCATAAATTATCACACGTACTTTACATGAGATAATTATTGTGCTACATGGATGAATAATTATTGAAATGTGTGGAATTTACTTACCCATTTGTCATATTCTTATTTTAGTTCTGCTGCACGTTGAAAAGAGAGTGCAACTTTAATAATGCTGTGAAATGGCGGGATTTAGCTAAGCACCTCTCTATTGATGGCTTAACAGAAATTAAATACTATCATATGTGGAGTCACAACAAAATCTCACGAAATACTATCATATGCTCCTTTGGTCACCTTAATCCCAACTTCTCGAAGCTCTGTGGTACATGTTATGAAACTCCATTCCCTTCCTTGGCTTGCATCAGTATTCCCACGAGAGGACACCTTTTCAAAAATGAAGAACACCAGGTCATGTCTAGTGGGTTTTGTTGGTTTGTATGTCCAATTTGTTCACTATTAAACCTTGCGGAATAACTCAATGATAAATCACCCGTCAAATAGAATTATTTTCACAAACTTATCCTTTTTTATTTTAATTGGTTATGCATAACATTTGCGTGCATTCTCCTCCAATTCTTGGAAGGCTATGACATAATTATCCACACTCGACTCACATCTTTGTTTAAGCAACTCTTGCAGGTACCAGAGTTTGCTTTCCATCATTTGCAAGCTAATTTATCATGGTGATAAGTACCAATTGCAAGCATTTCCGGTTCATAAAATTTCTTATTTTCCCTGCGTGTTAGGTCATTTAATTTGAAGATATAAGGGCCAAAGGGTGGACATGGAAAGGAAGCAAGCTTTCTATCGATGTGAGTGGATAGTAGAGAAATCTACTTCCTTGAAGCTCAAAACTATCTAGCAATTTGTCAAAATCTATTTCACTTCTCCTGCCATAAACAAAAATAAAGAGAAAAAACTATGAAACAACTTACAAAAGATCTCACATAAAGCAATAATTTAATTTCTATATAGTGAGCTTATAATATTGGATGTTTTTTCAAAGAAACTAGTTGAAACATTCGAGTCACTTTTGTTTTTTGAACATAGAGTGAATATACAAATGGGACGTTGTGGGCTTAGAGTCATCACCTATGATATCAAAGGTTAAATATCTCACATTATATCTTTATTTTTTTTAACAGTAGCAATTGTTCCAATTAGCAAACGACATCTCATTTTTCGTCTATTAACCTCCAATATACCAAGCATGTAACCTTAGACAATCCATTATTTTTTAGGTAAAGTGTAGGTTTTAAATTTTTCAAGGGGTAAAGTGCAATTATTACATCTTTCAGGACCAAAAAAAATGTTTTCTAGACTTACACTTGTGCAAAATTAACGAGTCCATCCGATTCTATTTCTCTTGGAGAGAGCAAGGAATTTTTTTTTTTTTTTTATCTTTTAATTAGCAAATGCCATTAACACTTTAAAATTTCTCATTCCTTAGGTGTAAGAGTACCAAATTACATCAATCATGGAAATTGCAATAGTAGAACTCAAACCTCCCATGTTTTATGGAAACAAATATGCACTTAACTTTATTTACTTTTAAAAATAAAATACGCACTTAACTACACTTCCACTCCAAAATACACACTTAAATCAAATTGTACAACATACCAATTTTCAACTTCCTTGTTTTTCTCGTCTGCTTTATCTTCTAAAATAATTGGTTTATATGGAACGAAAAATATTTACTAAAGTAAGTGAAGTGGAGCCATGTATTTATAGAAGGTGAGATGCATTTCTTTTCCAAAAGTGTAAGTAAGCCTAGTAACTATCACAAAGCCAAGTATGTTGCTTTTGTGAAAGTGAAGATATGTTTTTCATATGAAAAATTGTTGTGGAATCTAATGTGGAAGAGGAGGAGCTCACATGAAGATTTTTTTATCACTAAATTCCCTCGTGCAATATCTTACCTTTTGTGAGAGTGAAGTTGTTTACTATGTGTTGGATCTGCAGAGTTGACATGGGTATACGTATAGAATTCTTCAATTTTATTTTTGCAACATCCCGGATTGTTAACGTATAATATTGTCTTTCTTAGGCTAGACTCGTATAGCTTTTAAAAGCATTGTAAAAGAACAAATTATTTAACTTGACCAAAATTTTGAGAATCAAGACCCATGTTCATAGAGAAAAAAAAAAAAAAAAAAGAGGTTCCCTTAACTCTAAATGTTTTCCAATTTGAATTGGTTCAACAATCCATGTTGATTCATTAGGTCCTTTCATGGGACAACTATAGAGGCTATTTTTAGGATCCACCGAACTTAAAAGGGCATGATTGAAATTGTTCAAATTGACAAAATTAAGAGGATCGAGATACATCATGCTAGATAATAATATGTGCAGCCCACCGCTAAGGAATGCTAGTGGGCCGGGCAATGCTATTTCAACCTAAATTACTGAGTTATTTTGTCGACCTAAATTTGCTGAGTTACTTCGTTGACCTAATTAATTAGTATTATTGAATTGATTATGAATTCTACTATTGATTGGAACTCATTACCAATCAAATGACTGTGCTGGATTATTAGGTTAATAAATTATATATGAATACTATTACTGTTAAAAATATATGTTTTTTGCTCATAGCACAGGATACACAACTAGCCAATTCTAAGTCATATAAAATTATCAGAACTTCCATTTGACTGTTAAATAGCATACTCAACTCAATTCTAAATATATTGTTTTTAGGTTACAACTCCATAAAAACCAACCTTAAAGTTTGCTTCAACCAATGGCTTAAAAGACATTTTAATTGATCACAAATTCTGCACAACATTTGCAAAACAACAGGCTGACCGAAGGATCAGTACAACTTATTTTAAGATAATATTTGTTGAACGTGGGGATCGTGAGCATGTAATGCAAATCAAATCGGACTTAAAGCTAGCCATGTCAGATAGAATAAATAGTTTGTATCATAGTGAGTACAAACAACACAAAAGCACCGATGACTGAAATGATAGACCACGGGCTGTTGAAATAATTGTGCTTTAAATTAGCCATCCATGTATGCCAAAGATGTCCACAGTACTCGTTAACGTCATTGAAAACTTTCCGGTAACAGAACCTTGCTGAACTTGTGTTGACATGATTGGTCATTTTGTTGAAAATGTTAGAGACCGTTGTATCATCACCCAACCAGTTATCAATAACTCTACAATCGCAAAGTATTTCGACATCCTTTGGGGAATTGATGAGGCGATCCATAAAAATCACATAGTCAGTCACATAAGTTGGCTCGATTCCTTGTTTATATTGCTTGTATGCAATCATGTTTCTAAAGAACCACTCTGTATCATCATAAATTCGCAGAGGAGGAATTCTCATGATTCCATTTTCGAACCTTATATCAAACAAAGAGGAACTTTCTGTAGCCTTCTCGAATTTAATCCCAGCTTCTTTAAGCTCTGTGGCACATTTTATGAAACTCCATTTACTTCCTTGGCTTTCATCAATATTCCGACGAGAGGACACAATTTCAGCAAATGAAGAACACCAGGTGTAATGTAAGAGGCCTAGAAGATGATCCACAGTATTATCTGGTGGAATCGTTGAACGAGGCAAATTCTTTAAATATGTTACCCGTTCAGTTAAAGTGTCGAGGGCTAAGTCAACAATATTGTTTGGTGCGCTTTGTTGGTTTGAATCTTTTGCCATGTTAAATAAATTGAAGAGGATAGCAAAAGGAAGTTGATTTTCAAATAACAGTAAATCACGTAATATAGCATTCCAAATTTGAGAAATTTTAAAAATACCATCTTGTGTATCTCCAAATTTTCCAGATTTGCACTTGCGAAGCATCTCGATGATAAAACATCCATCAAGTAGCATCATTTCCACTAACTTATCCTCCTCTAGATTAATGGATTCTGCATAACAACTACGTGTAATCTCTTTCAATTTTTGCATGGCTACGACATATCTATTGCTCCACTCATTTCTTCGTTTAAGCAACCCTTGCAAGTACCATAGTTTGTGTTTTTCCATCATTTGTAGGTTAACATTATGACTGTGATGAGGACCAATTGCGAGTATTTCTGGTTCGTAAGCCGTCTTGTTTTCCTTGCGTAGTTGATCATTTACTTTAAAGATATAGGGGTCAAAGGATGGAGATGATAAAGAAGCAAGTTTTTTGTCGATGCGAGTTGACAGCTGAGACATCGATCTGTTTCCCTTTGAAAGCAAAGAATTATCTAAGCATTTGTCAAGATAATATATCTTACATGTGCCATAAACCAAAATAAATGTGCAAAAACCGTGAAACAGCCTACAAAAGATTACTGTGACAATTCTACTACCACGAAAAACTTTATTTTTTTTTTTTTCAAACCACGATTTTTGTTGATGAAAGGCCCTAATTCTTATAGTGTGAATAATTGTAGGAAACAAAGAGCTTTTAAATATTTAGAATTTTATGTAGTAGCATTTTTGGCATAACCAGGAGCTCCTTCCAGCAATTTAGTATTTTTTTTTTAATTTTAAATGTAAAATAATGTGTATTGATAACCAAACATGTACAAGTAACATGGTAATTGCCCTCTGACAAGAAAAAATAGGCATCACCTACAGCAACAATAAACAAGCAAATTAAAAAGACCAACTCCAAGACACAATTTTTAATAATTGTAAGGATATTATAAATAACCCTTTAAGCTACGAAACCGTTTTTAATATACTCTTAAATTTTCAGTTGTTTCAATTTGACCCTTAAACTTTTTAAAACAGTTTCAATAGGTCTCTTCTGTCAATTCAAGTGTAAAACCTCACTGGTTTTCCACACAGGTGCAATTTTAAAATCTTTCAGGAGTAAACAAATCATATTTTTATATCTTTATGGAGGAAAAGGAAACTTTTTTCAATTTCTAATTGGGACACATTTCTAGTTTAAAAAATAAAGGGTAAAAATATGATTATTTAACATTAAGGATGCAAAATAAATTTTAGAACATTTAAAAGGAAAAAGTGCCATTAGTTCTTCAAAATTTCTCACTAGGGAAAAAATATTCCTTGTAACGGATATATCACATCATCGGCGACACATGATATCACAACCAATGATAATATATTGTGTGTATGTGGTGTATTCCACTACTTTAGTAATTGTTAATAGCTACCACACTGACTAACTAACATGTTGGAATAGTGGAGTTCACTTATTTTTATTAGTTGATGATACNTAACGGATATATCACATCATCGGCGACACATGATATCACAACCAATGATAATATATTGTGTGTATGTGGTGTATTCCACTATTTTAGTAATTGTTAATAGCTACCACACTGACTAACTAACATGTTGGAATAGTGGAGTTCACTTATTTTTATTAGTTGATGATATCACGTGTCACCGATGAAGATGTAATATTACTGTTGCAATGAATATTTACTCCATGTAACGAGGGGTGAACTATATCAAAATGTGTTAAACAAGGAAACATGCAAACTTATATTTACAACAGTTAGATAATCAAAACAAATGCTTATAAAATTACACAACTTACTGATTTTCAACTTCANATATCAAAATGTGTTAAACAAGGAAACATGCAAACTTATATTTACAACAGTTAGATAATCAAAACAAATGCTTATAAAATTATACAACTTACTGATTTTCAACTTCCTTCTTTTGTTCGTCGGCTTTTCTTCTGAAATAAATGATTTACTTGGCCTGAAAAAATGTTGATGACAAAGAAAGTAGTAAGCAGCCATTAATTTATAGGTAGATTTGATTCATTTCCTATAATTCACGTAATCCTTGTCTGGCCCTCACTACGCTTTCTTTTACAAAAGTGAAAGCAATAACACTACTTATCACAAGCCAAGTATATTACTTTAGAACACCAAGGATCTCAAATAGTAACAGAGACGAATTGTAAATTTAGATATTTTGAATTCGAATATTGGTAATTCTTTGGGGTTAAATCATGAGGTATTTATCCCTCATGTACCCTTGTCCCGACATGGATGGTCTTTTTTGATCAGACCGGGGAGGAGATTAGTTAATATGCACGTAAGTTAATCTGAACACCCTTGATTGTTGAAAAAAAAAAAAAATAAGTTCCCTCTATGAAAGTGACACCATTTGTTTGATAACCCGTAGATGGACCTAAGAAGGGGCCTGGCTCCCTCACTTTTTAAAAAATTTCTATGCTAGCTCATAAATTTTACAAACTCTATATTTTTCCTCAGATACTAAAAAACTTTATACATAGACAATTCACTTCTTGTATTAAAAAAGACTAATGAATTGATATTTAATAGTCAAATAGATGATGCAATCTATAGATGAGCGACGTTCTTATAACTGAGTATATTTGATTGGAGAAGTATAATGACTAAAGAAAATTTTTATTAAAAAAAAGTGAAATTTTTGCAAAATCAGATTATACAGGCAAATTATATTAAAAGTAATGTTTTAACTTATGAAACACTTTTATTATTATATTGCATAAAACTATTACTTGTAAAAATATTTTTTTTCAAGTCATGACATCGTATCATAGTTTGTGAATAAGCGGCTCATGACATTATCACAAGCTCATTTCTATGATGGTAAGAACCGATTTATGAATTTCGTGACTCAAATTAATTTTTAAAATGGTATTTTATGCGACGGATCAATGTGTGGTCGAACAAGGAGTGAGAGGTATATAAACTCATATTTCATAAGTACGAGTTCCCCTCATCACATGAGACAAAAATTTATGGATATTTGTGTATATTCAAGGCTTTTGTTATAGCCATGAGTTTAAAGAACTTATGATTGGAACGATTACCAGTTACCAAAAAAAAAATATTATTTTTTGTAAGTATAGTTAATATATTAGAATGAAGTGTAGGAGGTGAATATTTGACTTTGTCTCTTAGGTATGGCCAGGGCAGCCCAATAGTTAGGCTGAATAAGCGGGCGCTTTAGGCCCCATATAAAAGGAAAGCCCATTTTAAACTCAAATAAATTAAGTCCAAACAAAAAGGTCATATAGAGTTTAAACTAACAAAAAATTCTTATTTTGGTAATAAAATTGGGCCCAAAAGCCCAAACTTATTTGTGACATCCCATTACTTACTCTATCAAACCGGACAAAAGAGTCAATCATATCAATTAAACACTCGTGTTAATACATTAATCTCTCTCTCACTCTCTCACACATAGAGTTAAATANCTTTCTCTCACTCTCTCACACACAGAGTTAAATTTTTTTTCATCTAAAAACAAAACAAATGATTCTCTCTCTTATTTGACTTGTGAACGCCTTTCTAAATAACACAAAGAACGTCACCGAATCAGCCCTAGTATATTATTTGATACTCTCACTTTCTCTTTTTTAATTTTATTTTGTAAAAAATAGTGTCAATTCACTTATTCTTTTTATTTTATTTTATGTTTTGATAGGTGATATTAAAAGAGAATCACATTATAATATCTTAAGTTTTAGGAACACTAGTCATAAAATTAAGTTTTATAATTTTGATTTTTATTAAGTTTTTTTCTTATAAAGAGAATTTGATTGATTTATATAAAAAAATTGGATTGTCAAAAATTTGTGATTACTAAAAAACAACAATTCACATACGAGGAACTTAATAAAAAAAGAGAGAAAGAGAAAAACTAATTGAATCGTAAAAAAGACCCCTTAATAAATTTAATACTAGTAATAAAAAAAATATAACAAAAGACTTACAAGAAAGTTCTGAAATGAACAAGTGATAGATCTTAAAGAATAGAAGATATTGAAATTATACATCGAAAAAATAATAAATAAATTTTTTATTAGGATGGTTAGACATGAATTTGAAAAAAAATAAAACAAAAGAAAGTGAATAAAAAAATTTATATTAATAATAAAAAATAAAAATGACCTTTTTTCGCTTTAAGCCCCAAAAGAGCTCGGGCTACCCTTGGTTATGGCTTGCAGATTCTGTATGCTATGTAGGGATGGCAGTGGATCGAAACCGGGGCGGGGTGTAGTCTCCATTCCCGTACTCGCTTAAAAAAACTTTGTCCATCCCCGATTCATCTCCGTTAACGGGTATAATTTTTATCCNTCGGGCTACCCTTGGTTATGGCTTGCAGATTCTGTATGCTATGTAGGGATGGCAGTGGATCGAAGCGGGGGCGGGGGTGTAGTCTCCATTCCCGTACTCGCTTAAAAAAACTTTGTTCATCCCCGATTTATCTCCGTTAACGGGTATAATTTTCATCCTCATCCTCGTCTGCTGGTAAATTTGTAATCCCCGCCCCTCGCCTTCACCTCCGCCCCCACCCCCGTCCACCTTACCTACCCAAGATCATGCCCAAGCCAACATAATTCAAAATTCTAAATAAATCTAATATTTTAAATAATTNCGGGTATAATTTTCATCCTCATCCTCGTCTGCTGGTAAATTTGTAATCCCCGCCCCTCGCCTTCACCTCCGCCCCCACCCCCGTCCACCTTACCTACCCAAGATCATGCCCAAGCCAACATAATTAAAAATTCTAAATAAATCTAATATTTTAAATAATTCAACATAATTAAAAGTTTGTCATTTACAACATAATATAATTAAAATCTTGTCTACAACATAATTCAACATAATATAATTAAAAGTTTGTCTCCCTTATAAATACAACACAATATCATGCAACTCAACATAATCCAACATAAAAAAATATAAAAACACAAAGATCTACACCTTTATAAACCAAAACCATGAAAAAAATTAAAAAATAAAACAATTTTCAAAAGAAAAAATAATTCAATAATATGTAGATTTGTTTTCACAGCAACACACACACACACACATATATATATATATATATATATATATAACGAGTAAAGCGGGGCGGGGAAGGGTGGTGGTGGGGCAGGGGTAAGTGTCAGTTCATCCCCGTCTTCATCCTTACACGGGTTTTTGTAAGTATCCTCCTATACGTCCACACAGTCCAATACGTATGGTCCATCCCCGGTCTAAACGGACGAGTTTGGACGAATACTCATTTTTATCCTGTCCACTGCCATCCCTAATGCTATGCTTGTTTAACACTTAATCCATAATTTTCTGTATGCTGCATATTATGGATGCTATGCTTGTTCAACACAAAATTCTCTCACATTTTCTCACCTTTGGTGAAGGTGAAGATGTTTACTTGCTGAGTTGGCATTGATAAATGTACAGTGTTCTTTAATCCTATTTTTGTAATGCACCTGACTTTTAAAGTTCAATAATTTTCGCTTTAGGTTAGACTTGAACGCCTTTAAAATGCGTTGTATAATGACAATAAAGAATTAACACTTAAAGAAGCATCACACACATTTCACCCAACCATGTGCGATAGACTACATACACTAAATTTGACCTAACTTCGTACATTCTTGTCCCTACACATATGTTGTAATGTTGTGCTTGTCCTCTCTATCTCTCTAAGATAATCAGAATCAACACACTTTATTTGAACATACAACTTATGTAAATTGGAATCAGAGATCTAAAATAGCATGATTAGTACAATTTAGTGAACAAAGTAAATCAACTTGGCAATGAATTAGAGTTGTAGGATAGAGCATATAGTCTGTACCATGGTGAGCAGAAGCAACAAAATAGCACCACTAAGTGAAATGATAGACCATGGGCTATTGAAATAATTATGCCTTAAATTTGTCATCCATATGTGCCAATTACGTTGGCAGTGCTCTTAACTTTCTTGAAAACTTTCGAGTAACAAAATGTTGCGGAATCTACAATGATATAATTACCCAGTTTGTTAAACATTGTAGAAACCACTTCATCATCACCTAACCAGTTATCAATAATTCCATAGTGGCGTAGTTTTTCGGCATCCTTCGGGGAGTTGATGAGGCAATCGATAAATGTGGCATAATCGGTCAAATAAAATGGTTCAATTCCTCTGTTGTACTGCTCGTATGCAATCAAATTTCTAAACAATAACTCTGTTTCGTCAAAAATAACCAAATGTGGGATTTTCAAGATCCCATTTTCGAACTTTATATCCAGGAAGGAGGAATATTTTGTAGCCTTCTCAAATTTAATCCCAGCCTGTAGCAGTTTTGTTGTACATTTTATGAACTCCCATCTCCTTCCTTGGTCTACATACTTTCCACGGGAAGACACCATTACAACAAATGAAGAACACCATGTATCATGTACGAGGCCAAGAAGATGGACATTATATGTCGGAAACCCAGAAGGCTATAAATAGATCAAATCTGGTAAACTCTAAAAAAAATTAAGGGCTAAGTAGAATATGTTGTCTATTTAGCTTCGAATGTCTTGTTGGTTTTGATCTTTGGTCATGTCAAACAAACAAAGGAGGACAAAAAATTGAAGTTGATTTTCAAATAACAATAAATCTCTATGTAAAATGCACCGGATTTCAATTGAAAAACAGGGTCTTGGTATCTCTCAATTCTTCATTCAAAAACTTTTGAAATAATTCGATCATGAAGCACCTGTCAAGCTGCATCATTTGCACAAACTCATCTTTCTTGAGCTCATTAGAATGTGCATAACATTTCTATGCTTTTTCTTCCAATTCTTCCAGCGTTGTGACATATCTACCTACACTTGACTCATTTCTCCATTTAAGCATCAATTGTAAATACCGTAACTTATGCTCTTCCATCATTTGTAGGCTAGCTTTATTTTGGTGACAAGGGCCAATTGCAAGCATTTATGGCTCATAGGCTTTCTTGTTTTCCTTGCGCAGTTGATCATCCACTCTAAAGATATAAGTTTGAAAGGGTATAGCTGATAAAGAAGCAAGCTCTCTATCAATGCAAATTGTCAACTGGGACACCTGTTTTCTGTCAAAATGAAAAGAGCTTTGTGCACTGAGTCACCTTTTTTTCAATTGGTAAACTCTAGCAACAAAAAAATACCCAAGAATTTGTTAAAAGCTATTATATTTCTCTTCTGGAAATAAAAATAAAATAGAATAATCTATCAAAACAACTCACAAAAGGTTTAACATGAATCAATGTATGTCCTACAAGAGAACAAACTAGGATACCAGGCGAAATGCTTAAGTCACTTTATTAGGATAGAGAAACATGGCAATTGGAGGGCTTAGAAGACAGTAGAAAAATCAAATGGCTTTGTCTTTGATTAACCGTCAAAAGTGCTATTTTATTGTATTTAATGATTGATTAATTACATATTATTTGTAATTAAGTGTGTTAAATTCCTTGATTTTCTAGTTTGATACTTTTTCTAGTTGTTTGGCTTATTTTGCAGGTAAATTAGTTGATTTAAAGTAATAATGGATAAGACAAGTGAAGCAATCACTAGAGGAAGAATCATAATTGATAAGGATTGAAGGATCAAGATTGAAATAGGACGATTTGAAGATATATTAGCAAATTTAATCATTATAAGAGTCTAAATTTGAAGAAAACTCATTTAAAATTACATTTGGAAAGTATCCTAAAAGATAACGATTTGACATATTTTCAATATTTTGGTCATAACATTTGACTCCGATATCTGATTAACTTGATTTTTGTGGGGTTGGAAAAAAAACTTCAAGGGCTACAAAAGTGTATTTGACGAAAATTTAGTGATTCAACCTCTAAATATGCGAAATTCAAGCTCGAAGTCTAGACACATTTTATACCCGCGCCCCAAAATTTTTATGTACAGGATTTAACCTTAAAAGACTTCTTTTTGGAAAGAAATTTCTTCCAAGCCAACCTTATATCTTCTACCCATACTTAGGATTTATTTTGAGTATAAATAAGGGTTCTTATATAGGATTTAGAGGATTATTATTCTTCTCCTATCTTTTCTTTTCTAATTTTTATGTTTTAGTTCTATGGCTGGCTAAAAGCTCAACTAAAGATAGGGGAGATACTTTCAATAAAACAAGGTACTTATTATTGATTTAATATTCTTTTTAATACATGATTTACTCTTTTAAATTAATTCTTGTCTTCTAGTAAAGTTTTTGCTTTGTATAATTTTTTGATTTGTTGTGCCGTCTACATCGAATGCTTGAAATTTCGTATAAGTCAAATAACTGATTATTCCATGCTTAAATTAATTAATTAGAATTTCTCACCAGATAATTAATTTATTATTTACAATAAAATAAGATTTACCTGTTAGAAAATTTGATTCGTTGTAGACTCTGGGCACGGTGAATGCCTGTGATCTACAAGTAAATTCTTATATTTATTCAGATAATTTATTAATTATAACTTTTGATATTTTCATATTATCACCACTAAATATTCCGATTGGGATCACTTCTCAGTTGATTCTCAATTGAGTTCAAAAACTAGATCATTAATAATTACTGTGTGAATTTGAAAGGGTATCCTTGATATTTTAGTATTATCAATTATTATTTTAAAACCAAATTTCAAAATATCTATAACAATTTTTTTCAAAATAATTTTCTTTTATTTTTCTTTGTGTCCTAAGTTTTTCTCAATTCCTTGTGGTTCAACCTCAGACTTTCAAGTAGTGTATTACTTCGCACAACCTGCACTTGGTTGATCAATTCTAAAGTTGTAGCAAGTTTTTGGCGCCGTTGTCAGAAAATTGTTGAAAGACAAGGAGCCGCCATCACATTTAGTGAGGTTTTCGGTATTTACGACTCGTCGGAAATCCGATAACTTTGTTCCATTTTTTTTATTTTTTTTACTAAAATTTATTTTCTTTTTGTTATTTAATTTTGTTTTTTGTTTTATTTATTTATTTCTTTTATTTTTTTATGAGTTCTTGACATCGTGATTTAAGTGATTGTTTGATAAGAAAAGATTTAGATACTCTGTTGAAAATTTAATTGATTCAAATCATACTTTTCATACAATGGCTACTGATCCTAATGATAACAGACGAAATAATTTTCCTAAACAAGAGGATCATGAGGATAGAGTAAGTAATCATGATGAGAATGATGTTGATAATTTCAATGTTAATCACGGTCGGACTTTGCATGATTATCTACAACCTGCACGTCACACTGCACCCTCATGCATCATCTTTCCATTAAATGCCACAATTTTTTTTTTAAACCTGATATGATTGGATTACTTCTAAAATTTCATGGCATGGAATCATAAAACCCTTACCTGCATATTAGAGACTTCGAGGAGGTTTGTGCTACATTTCATGATAAAACTGTGTCAGTGAATACAATGTGAAATCACGTGTGTTATATAAATATAAATGGTATTAACTTGGTAGTATTTTTAAAATAATTAAAATGGTGAGAGAAACTTCGAATCGTTGTTACAGGAATAGTCGCATAAGTTTGAGGCACGAACGTATTGGCTTTTGAGTCAAATTTAATTTTTAGAGGTGTTTAAGATTGATAAAGGTAACTAAGAAAATATATTAATATTTTTAGATTTAAATAATATTACCATTGAATCTGGGAGGTTCAAAAAACTTGGAATAGTCGTTTAGCTTACAAAATAATTCAGAAGGGTAAAATAGTAATTTTAGTATTTTTGGGTTAAAATAACATTAAAAATGAATCTGGAACGTCAAAAAACCTTAGGGTAGTCATATGAATCAAATTAGAATGTTTTGTGGTAAAATCATAATTTTGAAGAAAAATGTATTTTTCAGTCCGTGAACAGTAGATTTCAGGACTACTGTGTTTAAAACACAGATTTCAGCCCCTTTTCTTCCATTCTTTCATTCCACTTTCACCCAAAACCTCTTAAAACCCTAGGAGAAGACAAAGGGAAAGAAAGAGGTCCATAAAACTTGGAGTTTGCTTGGAAATCCTAGGAATTTGGCTTGGAATTCTTGATTCTTAGGTGAGATTTTCCTCTCTCTTGAATTTACATTGTGCATATCAGTTATTTTCTTTAGTTAAATCTTACTATGTGTTTGATGGCAAAAACATTGTTATAAACCTTGATTTAGTGTTGAATATGCCATTGATTATGAACCTACATGCATAAAAATGATTTTTGTGTTATGAGTTTGAAAACTTAGTTTGATTTTAGTTATGGGGATTTCATTAAACCTATGATTTTTGGGTTTTGAAGAATGCTATGACCTTGTACATAATATATATTACATATTCTCTTAGAAATAAAAATAATTTTGTGTAGGGTTTGAAACCCTAGTTTGATTTTAGTTATAGGTATTTGATTAAACTTATGATTTAGGGGTTTTTAAGTATGCTATAATTTTGTACATAATATATATGACTTATTCTCTTGGAATTGGTTGAGTTGTTTTGAAAATGCAAATTTTGAGATTTGAGTATACTATATGTTTAATAAAATGTCAAGGTTATGACATGGGTTTTCACAAGGATTTATGAATATAGAAAATAATGAGTTTTAGAAAATGTATGCTCGATACTGATAGGCAGGGGGTTAGTAAACGGTTGGGCCTATGGAGTGGGTTGCTAAGGTAACTACTAGTCCTAAGGGTGATTGGTTATGATAGTAATTTTCGGTGATGGCCTATGTGGTGTCACAAGTTGTGTCCTACACATTCCCCTTAAAAAACAAGAAGGGTGATGAGACCCTAGGGTGCAAGCCCCAAAAGGTTCTCCGGGAATGGTTCATGCGTGAACAGGTGTAATTGATTATATTATTTGTATGCGAGGCATGCATGATATTTGCTATGATGATTTGACTTTAATTTATACCTTGTATATTTCTAATGTTGAGATGTTGAGAGATTTTTATAAATGCTTTACTTATTATCTTGTACATGTATTTAATTATAGAAAACTTTCATTACTTATTCGTATGATTTGTGGAATGTTGATTTTTAAAACTTTGTTAATTTTTAAGAAAGGAACTATTCTACTGAGCGTGTGGTTGCTCATCCCTTACTAATATTTTTAGAGACTAGCATGCATCTTGGGGCATAAGTGATGGAATGCTTATGGGAGCTTGGACTAGAAAGAATCTCTTTTGGAGCTTTTTTGTATTTACCTTTAGAATTTATGTAAAAATGTTAGCACTCAAGCATTGTGTTTGAAAAGGTTGTCTTAAGACATTTATGGTGTGCACTTGATCATCCCATAGAGAGATTATTATTTTGGGTATTGTAATGTAAAGTTATGACTTTGGGTACTAAGTTGTGGTATATATTGGTGTTAGACGTATCCGAATTTGGAAGGACTTCGTGGGCATTCT